TATTCTTTCATTTGGGCATGTTTTTCTTTGTCTCCTTATTTTGGCAGCCTCCCTCTGTTTCTGTGTGTTAAGTAGAGCTGCTTTGACTCTGTGTCTTGGTAATGTGGCCTAATATAGTAGGTGTCCTGTAGCATCGAGTAGCACAGCCTCCCCTATCACTCAAGCTGGGTACATGAGATGCGTTCTTTGCATGGGCTGACTACACCCTCCTTTTATAATTGAGCCTTCATTGCTGTGGGCAGATCAATGGAAGGGGTTTACCCAGGCCAGTCAGCTGCAAAGATTGGCTGTGACCAGTTGCCGCCAACCTCCGCCCTATATGGAGGATCGGCTATGCAGAGGCAGGATGATGGTGCTCCAGTATGGTCTGTGGCTGCCCACTAGCTGCTCTGGCCCTGGGGTTTCCCGCATGGTGCAGGCCAAGGTCAGTGCCCACCTGTGTTTTGTCTGGGCCACGCTGCCTAAGCTATAAAGCAATCTGAGACGGCTGTTCACACAACTTCAAGAGGTCCGACATTCACATCATAGGGGTGCTAGAAAGAGAAGAGAAAGAACAAGAAATTGGAAATCTATTTGAAAAAAATATTACAAGAAAAGTTTCCTAATTTGGTGAAGGAAATAGACATGCAAGTCCAGGAAGCACAGAGTCCCAATTATGATGGATGCAAAGAGGTCCACTCCAAGGCACATCATAATTAAAGTACTAAAGGTTAAAGACAAAGAGAATTATAAATGCAGCAAGAGAATAGAAGTTATTTACCTACACGGGAGTTCCCATAAGACTGTCAGCTGATTTCTCAAAAGAAACTTTGCAGGCTAGAAGGGATTAGCCTACTTATGCTGGACTTGTAGATTCCCAGGTGAAACTAAACTGTGAATCTTGGCTGGCCGCTGCTAGTGCTGGGCCTGGGGCTCACGGAGGCCAGCTGTTGCTTCTTTGAGAGGATTTATGAAGTTGTTAAGCATGAACCAAGACCAGTTATTCATATGAAAAAGCAGCTTGGGTGGGCCTGTAAGTTGTGTGGGGTGAGGTCTTGGGGATCTCCAAGGTGGATCAGACAGTGTTGCCAGGTTGATGGAGTCTCAAACATGGCACCAGACCACCAGGTCTGTGGCTCTGCAGGGGGAGTTCCCAGGAAAGGGACAACGGCTTTTACTTGCCCCAAAGCCAGACACTTCAGCCTCTCCCTGTATGCCAGTGGTGGCCTTCAAGCTGCCACCCCGGCACTGGAGCTCAAGGGAGTGAGTCTGAGTTGGTAAGTCTGTGTATGGGGTCTCTAGGAGGAACTGCTTGGGGCTCCAGAAGTTTCTTCCACTGACTCAGTCCCTACTGGTTTTTGCAGCCAGAAGTTATGGGGACTTATCTTCCTGGCACTGGAACCTGGGCTGGAGGGCCTGGTGTGGGGCTGGGGGTCCTCGCTCCCAAGATATCCTTCCTAAATTTTTATCCGCCACGCATGGGTGAGAGACCAGCCTCTTCTGTGCCTGCGCCTCTCCTACCAGTCTGGATAGATATGGTTTCTTTAATTCCACAGTCATCAGACTTCCCTTCAACTCATTTCTGATAGTTCTGAGGGATGGTTGTTCTATATTTTAGTTGTAATTTTGATGTGAGGTGAGCTATGTCTGCCAACACTGCCATCTTGACCAGAAGACTTAACTATTTTTCAGCTGGATTTTTTCCCCCTCTTATTAACATGTCGCCATCCTTTACATATTTTGGAATAAGGCCTTCACCAGTTCTGTGTTTCAGGTCCTTCTTCCATTCTGATTTTCCTTTTCACTTTCTTAAAATGTCTTTTCTTTATGGTTAATGCACTTGTGTCTTGTTTAAGTCTTCCATGAATTTGTGAAGATTTGTCTGTATGGCCTTTTAGAACTCCTGTCCTGCCTTTTACACTTAGATATGTTATGTGTGTGTGGTATGGGGTAGAGGGTCATCTCATTTGTCCCCCTTTGGATAGCCATTCCATGAAGATGACCCTTACGGAATGATATGATGATATGACAAGATGATAAGTTAAATCAAATGTCCATATGTTTCTGGGTTCACTATTTCATTCCACTCATACAAGTCCTTTGGACAACCAAATATCCCTATAAGGAAAAGGAGATAAGAAAGTAGTGAAAACCTGACTGATTATGTGGCAGAAATTGGTAACGGGGTTAAGATCTTAGCTCTGCCACCTACTGGTTCTGTAACACTGGGCTAAGTTGTGATTTCCCCGAGGCCCTGTCTCCTACCCTTTACATCAAGCTCACAGTATTGTAAGGGTTACTGACTGAATGTGTGCAAAGTGTTTAGACCAGGACTAGCACTTAGTAAACACTCAATAAATAGCAGTCATAATCTCTAATCTGCAAGTTAAATACTCGCGTAGTGCCAAGTCCTAACCTGAAATCAAATTTATTCTGCTTACTATGAATATTTATACATTTTTACAGTAAAAATACCAATGGCTTTGATTACAGGATGCTGTCCAGGCCCCACTTGGGAGTGTTCGCATCTTACTTGGTAGGAATGGAAAGCTCTCGACCAGGAAGCAAACCTGGGCCCAGGGGCTCGTAAGGGAAGGGGGCCTGTATTAATCAGCTCATTGTCTTGCAGCCTGGGGACAAGGCACTGGGTAACCTGGGTGGGCCTCAAGTTCACATTAATAACACCATTTAGTTCCATCAATTCGACCCGTATAGAACAACAGTAGGCACAAAAAAAGTGTGCTGAATGAAAGTACTTTAGCAGTTGTGTGTGAACATAGGCTGTGTGTTTACAGTACTAAATGGTGATAGTGTTCTGTGTCTGAGATGGAATAAAGAGAGGAAAATACTCTGCAGCAAACTGTTCCCCTCCATGGAGAGAGTAGACAGACAGACAGACACACACACACACACACACACACACACACACACACAGAGTCTACCTTTCCTCCACACTTTGTACAAAAAGTAATACAAAAACTGAAGTCCAAAACGAGAATCAACAGGCATTGGTCCCAATCTATTACTGAGATCCATACACAAAAAAAAAGTCTCCTGATTGAACCAGCATTTTACCTTTTCAATTGGAAGATAAAAAGGAAACCTTTTTTTTCCAAGGTTTTTGAAGTTTCCACCCCTCCATTAGCTCCTGGTTGGGAGTGATAAAGGGGATGTGAAGGCAGTTAGGCCTGTGCCCCACATCAGAGCCCACAGGCACTGCGGGAGGCTTGTCTGAATGAATGTCCAGCGAAGGCCAGCCCCCGGGAGCGGGAGCGCCACATCTGCAGCCTGCTCGCCAGCGCTGGAGGCAGAACTGAGCTCCTTGAATACTGTCGGGGAGCACTGTCTCCAACGGCTGACTTTTAAGTTGAGCACCCACTAGTAACACCGTTAACCCTCTAAAAACGACTCGATTTCTAATGTCCGCTCTCCAAGCAGTATGTCCTGGCCTTTGGACCAATGTGACCAGCATCTGAGGCTGTGGAGTAATGAGTTCACGGTTCTAGATGAATTGAATCAAAGCCTTTCATGTCCCAACATCAGAGGTTCCCGGTGAAAGCTGTAATGGTTAACACTGAGTATGCATCATATGCCAGGTACTGTTCTATATGTTATAAATATTGTAGCTCATTTTACTCTGATAGGGACCCTTATTCCCATTTTACACAGGAGCAAGTAAAGGCAGGGGAAGCAAGGGACAGAATGGGAAACTGATCTCAGCCAGTGGGACTCTAGAGCCAGCACAGGTAACCACTGACCGCTCGGCCGCAGGGAGGTCCTGGCTCTGGCTCTGGCTCTGCAGGCTCCTGGAAGCAGCACTCCTGACTTCCTCCCCGGATGGTGGAGAGAGCTCTTCGCTTTGGAAGGACACCAGCCTCCTTCCAATGGGGCACGTCCACTACATATTAGTTGTGGGCAGCTGGCTGGCTAGTGTGCTGCTAAACCTCGCGTGCCTCAGCTATAATACCAAGACCCGACGGCCGAGGGAATAAGACCCCGGCTCAGGGAATCCTGAGCAGTCCTATGGCATGCCCCCCTGGCTCCCTGAGCTCTCAGCTAGAAAGGGCTACTCTTAGTCCAAGAAGGCGTTTGTGTGGGCATTGGAGAACAAGTCTGCCTGGCACATAACAGGGCTGCTGTTAGGGTAAGCGTGGTGATGGGCTCTCCCTGGGACAGGTCTTCTCACAGGGCTCAAAAAAAAAAAAAAAAAAAAGAAAAAGAAAAAAAAAAGCGTGACAACCCCAGTCACACACAGGGCAGACTGGAGGGTGAAACGGGGCCATGATTCACCAAAGCCCAACAAGCCGCAGGGGAAGCAGTTTTCCTTTCTTTACATGAAATGTATTGGGGTGACATTGGTTCATAGGGTCATATAATTTGTGTGCCCACCACTCCGGTCATCCTCCGGCTCCCTATATTTGGCCCCTCCTACCCTTGACCACCCCCCAAACGGTGAGGGCAGCCCCAGACCTTTCCGCAGCCCGGCGCCTCCAGCCCTGTCCTGCGGCGCGCCCAGGCTCCAGGGGCACTGCCGAGCCCAGGCTACCGAAGCAGAAAGCATCCCAAACACTGAGGTCGAACAATCCTGGCTTTGTTTGGAAAGGTTTTGTCCCTGAGTTTTTCCAGTTGGCTTTTATGGGACTTCTGCACCAGAGGAGTTAAAACTAGAAGATTCAGGGTCTGGGGAGGGGAAAGGCGCAAACGGGGAGCCCCGCTACCGTCCCTGTGCGGGGATCTTTTGCGGCCGGCAGCGCTGAGGCAGAGGAGAGCGCGCCAGCCGGGGGGCCAGGGCGCACGGGGCGCGGGCACATTCGCTGCCCTCGGACGCCGGGGAAAGGCTGCGATTTCTCCCCGCCGCCTTTCTTTCCTCATCGCTGCGGGCGAGGTCAGGATGGGCTCATTAAGCCGGCAGGTAGGCAGTGTCCCGGAGGCGGCAGGCGGTCCCGGAATGTGCGAGGGGCGTGGTGATAGCCCCTGCCGCCGGCCTCTTTGCGCAACACCTTGGCTACAAATACCCGGCTGCTGCGCTCCACCTGGGCGCCTCCTTCGGTCCATTACCTGTGCAGGGAGCGCTGGTGAGTACCGCCGCCTCTGGGGCAAGGGCGCTTCCCGCTCCCATCTCACTCCTGAAAGAACCTTAATTTACTTTAAATTAGTTCTTTTAGATATCCCTCGATGCTGACCTCAAGGAACTTGGCTGGCTTTGGGCTGCGGAAGAGGAAAAAAAAATAAATAAACCTCCAAATTTTCAGATTTTACCCCCCTTAACGTTACTGCTATTGCAACTACGCTATTGCTTCTGGCGGTGTTATTAATGAGCCACACTTGGGGACTCTAAAATTACAGATGTTTTAGGGTTCGTGGTTTTGGCAGGAAAAATGGGGTGGGGAATGGAGGTACCACGCAGGAATCAGGAGGGCGAGGTGCTCTTTGTGATCACTGATTTGCTGTGTGACTGCTGGGCCTCAGCTTCCCCTTTCTACTACAAGAACAAAATCTTCTTGGAGATTTGTCTGAGCTGAAAATTCTATAGGTTTGTGTGGCTGTCTGCATACCCCCACCCCCACCCCCACCCTGCATGACTTCCGGGTGCTAAGTTCTTTATCCAAAGTGACTGCAAGAGACAATCCTAACTTGCTGGGCCCATTAGAGCAGGTGGCCTGAATCAGCAAAAGGCTGGCTTGTCCTTCGGCTTGTCTAGGGAGAACAGAGCCCACAAATTTTTCAGTGTTTTGAGACTGCCAGGCCAGCTAGCTTGGGGAATGGCTAGTCAGGTGATGAGCACAGGTGTAGCTTTGTTGGGGTGAATGAGAATCTCCAGGCCAGAAAGAGGGAGGCTCCTGGGACGGAGTTGATGCAGTCTGCAGATCCCCTGGGGCAGATGTCTGCCCTTAAGGTACCTGGCACGGAGGTGAAGTGAGTTAGAATCCCTCCTCCTCAGCAAAGAGGCAGCTTTCCCAAACATGTGAGCTTCGTGGAGGCAGCTTGTGGATCTCATCACTTGGAGCCCTCTCTCTCTCTCCCTGTTCAGGCTCCTGGAGAGATTTCTGTGTGAGCTCTCCTGTGTTGGAATTCATTAACCTGTTCTTTGTGGGATATTGTTCCAAGTTGCGCCTCCTAGGAGACCATTGTTTCAGGTTGTTAACAGTCTTTTGAATCTGTGCCAGCCAACTAGCTGATAATGATCTCCTATTTTTATAACTTTGGAAACTGGTGGCAAGAAGAGCATGCCTCCAAAATCCTCCCCAAATCACTCAACCATCTCATGAAAAGAAGTCCCCAGTGGTGGAAGAATGTCTGGATTATTGCTGTTGGACACAAAGTTGACAAAAATAGCCCGAGTTCAATTTAAGGAAGAAAACAGCCACCTCCCACCCCCCCTCCCCCCTCCCACCTCCACCCCGGGGACAGAAAGGCAGTATCAGCAGGGAGTAATCAGGGCTCCCAGTGAGTCAGTTCATTCCAATGCATTTTAAAAATGCAAAAGAATGCAAAAAGAGGGCTGCAAAAAAGATTGAAATGTGTTTTAAATGTTTATTTTTATAAATTAGCCCTTTTAACTCCCCAGTGCAATGCAAAATAACTGATGTAATTGTAAGTTAATTACAGGATTTATTTAAAATATAAATACAAATTAAAGGTACACTGGGAGGAGGGTTTGGTCACGCGGCCCTAGTTCAAAGAGAGGGGAGATGTCTTTTTAAAACCCTATTAGCGCATATCAAGGGTCTAAACTAAAGCCTTTCAGCAACATAAAACGCAGGCCAACTGCTTCCCTGTCTCCTGTCCCACACACCTCCCTCCCACCACTCTTTCCTTGGGGATTATTTTGCCTCGTGATGGCTAAAGCTCAAGAAAAGTACCCATCACCCTCCTAGGAATTTTTGAAGTCTCAGTCATTTTTTCCACAGTACAAGAACAGAGTACTGATCGTACTGAGAGCCGTGGGGTCAGACTACCTAGTCTGAATTGTCTTGCAGGTGTAGTGTGCAGTTAGGGTGTGTGCTGTCGTGTGTCCCAGTGCCTGCTTGGCATTCGTACTGAGGTGTAAGCACTTACAGTAAATTTTATAGAAATTCGTAAAGTGCATGTGAGATCCGAGGGGTTAATTTGGGTGCGAGGCTTTCAGCCCTGCCTGGCATGATGCACGCAAGCACGGGGCTGACTATGAAGTGTCCTGCGGCATGTGGGGCTCCGGTGGTCCCCTTGCCTTTGCGCGCAGAGGCCACCGGCTGGTGGGAGAATGGGGGGGGGCGGGATCTTGATCTGTCTGCAGGGCGCTGCCTCCTGCCTCCTCCCCCGACTTCTTCACGTGTCCTTGGGCTGAGCACAGGTGGCCCCAGAGCCCATCTGGGTTGAGGAGGCCCAAGCAGCGCAGCGCAGGGCAGGGGCTGGGTGACTGCCAGGTGCCCTACATTTCCCTGTTCCCCAGGTCTAAGAAGAGCCAACAAGTTTCCTCTCCTTAGCCTGCAGGAGTTCCTCTTTGCATTGGGCACACGGGTAGATGCAGGAAGTTGAGCCAAAGGGGCTATCAACAGGGCCGGCTTAATTATAGGGACAGTGGTGGGGAGCGAGGGAGCCGATGTGTGATCATAGGCTAATCTCGTGCCTGGGCATGAAAAGCACTTTCTGGGTATCAAAACCGTCAGCACGGGTTCCTTTCCCCTTCCTTCTCGGCCCCTCTGCAGGTAGCAAGGGTGCACTAGAGTATGGCTCGGAGGTGCGGGGGGAGGGAACAGCTGATCAGGGCTGTGGGGTTAAGAGAAAGCCTTTGGAGGGGCCCAAAGGCTCCAAGGACCCATGCTGGTGTCTCCTGAAGGCTGGAAAGAACGGGGTTTCCACAAAGGACCATTTACCCAGGCAGCACGGCGTGGTAGTAATTGCTACTGTTCACTGGATGCCTGCTTGATGCGGGCACTTTCCTACGCATCACCATTAATCTCATACCCCTGCCCAATGAGAATTATCCCCGTGATATACGTGGGGAAACCAACGCTTGATGTTCAGAGGCATAAAGGGACTTGAGTCAACACACACCCCTTCGCACAGCCAACCCGATGGTTGGTAAAGCAGGTGGAATGTATAGGAGCATATATGTTAAGTGCACCAGGGCACCTTAGAGGGTTGTGAGGACTGGGCAGACCATGAGCCAATGAAGATGGGTGTGTTTGCCTCCGCTCGCTGACTGAAAGGGACAGTCGAGACAGAGGCCGAGACAGAAGTCAGGGAAATCAAAGATTTGGGGCGAGCATGGAAGAACGCCGGAGGAAGGGGTGGATTTAGTGGCAGCCTGGGTGGGTGGGTGAGGGGGGCCTACAGAGGAGTGTTATACAGTGCTTGAGAGTCCACACTTGGAAGGTACAGGCACAACACACATCCACGCCCCCCAGTCTTGAAACTCCTGGTTCTCCCTCATGATGCCTGAGCGCCCCTCTTTTCAGTGGCTGCTCCTTTAAGCTCTGCTTTCCCATCCACAGACCATGGCTCCTTGGCCGGAGGTGGAAAATGCCCAGCCCAGCCCCAGTAAATACATCGAAGGGAACACCACGGCTGGGAAAGACAAGGAGGCCGACAAAAGTAAGTGCTGCTTGCCCAGCCCCCGACGGGCCTCCTGCGGGGACCCCAGGATACAGGGGGCTGACCCTTCCTTTCTCCTGGCCTGCGTGTGTTTGGGCAGATGACACTGGGATCATTCTGACCAAGATCGAACTTCTGCCGTCGCACTCCACCGTGGCCCTGATAGAGGAGCCCTCAAAGGAGCCCACGGACTTGGAAGACCCCTGGGACCTGCCTGAGCTTAAGCGCCAGGGCATCAAGTGGTCAGGTAAAAGTGAGACCGGCAAGGAGTTGAGTTCACTGCCTTTACAGCATCACCCCCCTTCCCATTGTCCTGATGCCCTTCCAACAAAGGTCCTGGCGAGGGATGTCGCTCGACAGTCTAGGAGGCTTAGTCAAAATGTGGCATGATGATTGGGGAATCGTTTGTTCTTTCTTTCATTCATTCAGCAAATGTGCCATTACTGGGGTTATAACCAGGCCAGACACAATGCCGCTCCTTAGAATCCATGGCGTGCTGACCCGGACCTGGGAACCGCCCTGGGCGCTGTGTCTGCAGTAGTGAGCAGTCAGGGCCCCTGCTCTGAGAGCTCCTGGGTGGGGGCGGGGGGTCCCCTCCCCTAAATGCAGGCATCGGAGAAGGCTTTTGGAAGACAGAGGCTGTACAGCCAGAATAGCCGAGCAGGCAAATGCTGCACTTCTTTTCCTGGGGCAGGGAGTAAGGTCTGCCTGGATCACACAGCTGGGAGGGGAAGGGGCTGGGAGGGATGAGGTGAGAACCATCTTAAGTGTAAATAGCCATCAAGGAGGTAGCATGGCCCAAGCCCTCCCCAGATGGAGGCCCCGATTGCTACCTTGTAGCCACATGCTAGAAAATAGTCCCTGCTGTTGAGAAGGTGCTTAGCAGAGCCATTATCTCTGACCCCGCCCTGAGCAGGTGGTAAGTGCCCTTCACTGCCTCACCCAGTGATACTGGCTCAGCTGAGGTGGAGCCTGATTTGCTTGTCCCCAGACAACCCTGGACCCCTCCTCCCAAATGCAAATCTTATAGAGACCCTTCACCACAGATTTCAACTCAGTGGACTCTAGTGGTGATCACTTTGAAACGGCAGCCTTGGCCGCCTACCGCCTCTGGGCCTTGCTGACCACCAGAGCTCAGCCCTCTGGCTGGGGTGGGGGCGGGGAGAGCTCTGAGCTCATTGCCAAACTCCTCAGGGTTTCAGACAGTAAAACCCCTCCTGCCTTTTCCTCTCCCCTCAGAGAGAGACACCAAAGGGAAGATTCTGTGTATCTTCCAAGGGATTGGGAAATTCATTCTGCTTCTGGGATTCCTCTACTTGTTCGTGTGCTCCTTGGATATTCTCAGCAGTGCCTTCCAGCTGGTTGGAGGTATGGATGAAAGGGTCCAAGGCTGGGGCTGCGGGGTGTCGCCATTTGGTTCAGACCCTCGTGACTCAGCTAGCCCTCTCCAGCTGCCTCTGAGGCCCAGAAGCCACCTTGGGTCATCTCCCGTTTTACCAAGGAGAAAACAGAGGCTTGTAGGCGTCTGCAGCTGTCTGAGGAGCCTTAGGCCAGGCGCCTGCGGCTGGAGCCACTTCCAAGCGTCCAGCCCCTTTGTGTCGGTCCACAAACCCCAGACGGGAAGCTCTTTGACATAAAGATCTGTCTCAGGGATCCCATCTTTCTTTGCCTCCACCCCCACCCCCGCCCCCAAAGGAGGGGAGTATTGGATAAGAATCTTCTTAGGCCAGAGCAACTATGGAAATCAAAGCTGAACCTTTGCTGGAGAAGGACTAAGGGTCCCTGGCCTTGGGGGACTCTTCATCCAGGGCTGAGTGAGCCTGTGCATTGTGTGGGGGACCCAGGTGAAATCACTGTGCGTTTGGGCACCCTGTCCCCCAAACGGGTAACAGCATTGATGGCTGGCTAGCACTCTGAGTGGCCCCTGGGTGCAGATATTTCCAGAGGCACCGCCACTCTCTGGCTCCCAGTCTTCACAAAACGGACTGGGGAATGGCTTGGGGGTCTCCCAGGTACACGCAGAAATGACACTCCCAGCATCCAATGACAGGCTGGGGCTAGGCGTCGGGGGGAGGGCGGATAGATGAGAAGACCCACTTCTGGAGAGTAACTGATGAATTGGGAGTGCACCCTGGAGACAGGGCTTGGGACAGGAGATCCACAGGCAGCAGGCCAGGTGCAGAGGTAAGGCCAGGTCCCTGATCAGAGAGGGCTCGGCGCGGGCTTGCTGACGGGGTGAAGGTGGAAGGGGGCGGGAAGAAGCCACTAGAGGAGCAGCGTTGAGGGTGCGTGGGGCATGCCTTGTGGCATCAGGGCAGCTCAGGGAAAATGCAGGAGGAAGCAAGATGCCATAGGTATGGGGGTCCATAGGTAGGGGGAAGCAAGATGCACCCCCCACCCCACAGCCCATGTTGGCCCTGGCTGGAGACTCCAGCTCTCGGTGCCTACCGAACCCCCGCCATGTGGCCATGGGTTTCTGTTTTTTTCCAGGAAAAATGGCTGGGAAGTTCTTCAGCAACAACTCTATTATGTCCAACCCCATGGCGGGGCTGGTGATCGGCGTGCTGGTGACGGCCATGGTGCAGAGTTCCAGCACCTCCACATCCATCATCGTCAGCATGGTGGCCTCCTCACGTGAGTCTGGGCGCCCGTGAGCCCAGGCAGCCCAGGCGCTGCCCTTTGCAGCTAGGAGCCTGGGGTTTCCTCAGAACGTGTCCAGGCTTGTCACCGCTCTCCTCCTCTCTTGTCCAGCTATGGGGTCTTCCAGTCTGGATCACAGGCCGCCTCCTGTGTCCGTAGCCAAGCCTGAGAATAGACCCTGACGCTTGGATTACCTAGAGCTCTACTGTCCAGTCCAGCAGCCACTTGCCATGTGTGGCTATTTTGTTTTATTTAACCGGAGCTGATTTTAATTTAAAATAGAGAACCGGGTTGCTCAGTGGCATCAGCTCTATTTTCAGGGGTCAGGGAGTCATGTGGCCAGCACCTGCCCTATTGAACTGCAAAGGCAGCCTTTGCCTCCCTGTTTAGTGCTAAGTATAAAGACATCTCATCACAGCACGTTGGTTTGGGCACAGCTGAGCTTGGGGAACTGGCCTTCCACACGTGAACGAGACTGATACTTGCTCTGGCTTAGTTGAGACAGACCCCCTGAGTGGAACCAATGTGAACATATGAATTTTTAGCGCAAAGTAGCATTTTAGCCAAAATTAACTAGAGCTTTTTCTGGGCCAAATTAGAAAAAGGTTTTACTCCTTTAAAATACTTTACTTATACAGGTTTTGGCAGAAATAACGCCTGCTTGAGTGTTGTTGGTAGAGTAATAATATGGATGTAATAATTTATAGTTTTAATTTGGACATTTCACCTAAAATGCTGTATGGTGTGCTTGAGTGTGATATTGTTATGTTACAGAATTACATGCTTAGGATTTTGTAATAAAAGATTTTGTAATAAAACAGGGGCGTTATTTATGCCGGACCCTGTATCTGCTAGAACATTGTGGCAATATACTAATTTAGTAGGAACAAGAAATTAAACTGCCAGGAATTTGCCAGAATAAACACACAAGTCTGTGGACGTTGTTTTCTGGTCTGCTTTAAGGTGGTCTTGCCTCTGAGAAACTTAGAGAGGCACTTTTGAACCAGGGCCCACAGAAGGGCTTCTTGGGGTCTGTGGATTCCCTGAAATTATGTGCTCAGATTGTTTTGGGTCCACGTGCCTACTTCTGTGGCAAGCCCCCCTAGCTCTCATCGGGTTCCCTGTCAGGCGCAGATCTCTCAGAGCGTAGAACGGCGGCTCCAGGGAATCACCAGCCTGATGCGCTCAGCATGCCTGGGTCCCCCCCGCAGCTGGCCAGGCCGCCTTCCCACACGTGCTGGCCTGCTGACTTCCGTTTCCTGCACCCCAGTGCTGACAGTGCGGACTGCCATCCCCATTGTCATGGGAGCCAACATCGGGACCTCGATCACCAACACCTTCGTGGCGCTCATGCAGGCAGGAGACCGGGCTGTGTTCAGAAGGTAAGAGGCTCAGAACCAGCCCTTGCCGCCATCAGCCAGGTTGGCGTTAACTACCTGTTAATAGCCAATGAGAATATGTTTGTCCTTCCTGGGTCACCTGCTGCCCGCCACAGTGGAGTGTGGCTGAGGGTAGGGATCGTGGGCTTAGCCAGTCCCGTGATCTGCGTGGCAGGGATGAAACGGTATCAGCGCTGTGACATCTAAGGGAATAAACACAGCTGTACAGGTGAATACCCAGCAGGGTGCCTGGTACAGAGTCAGGGCTCCCCAAATGCAAGCCCAAGCCGGGAGCTTCTCTGCAGCGCATGTCGTTAAAACAAGGCCAGATCGGTGAGGACTTCCTGTCCTCCCGAGTCAGAAATAATTACAACCTGAAGCTTCCATTCTTAGCCAGCTCAACCCATGCCACTTCTTTGTTCTTCACTTGCCTGCCAGTGAAAGGCAAAATGTAGCTTTTGTGGATGTGGAAGATAGGAACATGGGGCGGGCTGGGTCCAGGCAAAGAGAACACCTTTCTCCCAAACGGTTAATGTGGAAATTAAGCATATTTTCCAGTCTCTCTTCTAACAGGTGACAGCTTGCTTTTTATTATTATTATTATTTTTTTTTAACTTATTAAGGCAGAGGAGCAGTTTTCCAGCGTGCCTACATCATGCTCGTGCCTTGCAGGTCACGCACAGGGCCTTCAACAGGCCGGTTGGGGGGCAGCAACAACCCCGCCCCTCCTTTGGTCCCCGACAGCAAACACTAATGCACCTTACCCAGGGTGTTGTTTGCTAAGCTGACCTTCTCAGGAAACCAAGTGAGCTTTTGTACGCCCCATTTTACTAATGTAGACAGGCAAAGAGGTTAAAGTAACTTCCCTGAGGGGCATGGCTGGGAACCCAGGTTTTCTTATTCCAGATTTTGAGTTCTTTTCAGTGTTACACGAATTTTGGCCTCTGCATCACATGTGAAATACGAACATTTGCTGTCTGGAGGCGCCTGCACACAGGGATGTGATTGACCTTGCTCGCCCCTGTTTGGCATATATTTAAATAGACTGACCTTCCCAGACTGGTGCCCACTGGCTCGTTGACCAGTCTGGCCGCCAGTTCAGGGTGGGGTTCCCTCCTGCAGGGCCTTTGCTGGGGCCACCGTCCACGACTTCTTCAACTGGCTCTCCGTGCTGGTGCTGCTGCCCGTGGAGGCCACCACCCATTACCTGGAGGTCCTGACCAACCTCATCGTGGAGTCTTTCCACCTAAAAACTGGAGAAGACGCCCCGGCGTTTCTGAAAGTCATCACGGATCCCCTCACGAAACTAATCATCCAGGTAGCCTGGCGTCCTCCTGAAAGGGAAAGGTGTGAATGAACGCCCTCCCCCTTGCGCTTTACCCCGCTCGGGTGGGGAAGGACAGGCTCTGGGAACATGCTACCGGGCTGCCTCTGAAAAAGGCCAAGGGAAGCGGAACAGGGGGAGCCCTGGACAGAGCCATTGGCCATCTTTGTTTCCTTGACTTCAACATGCGCGTCATGTTGGGGAGCGGGGAGGAGGTGGTGAGTGCTTCTCAAGACTCAGGCGCTGCGTATTGGACACTTGGGGCCACTCTGTTCCCACTGCTGACCTCAGCACCAGTGGGCTCACTGGGAATGTACTGTCCTGCTTCTCGCCAAAGGAAAGGTTACTGCCCTTCCCTTCCACGTCACGCCTTTGGGCACCAGGGTCTGTCCATATTATTAAGATGAAAGAAGGCTTTACGCACACGGCCTTGGGGAGAAAAGGCCAGCTTCGACCTTGTCCTTCCACTCTCATTTTTCAGTGTTGCTCGGCCATGAAGAGAACATCCCCACACTTTCTAGATAGCCGCCCACCCACTGCTCACACAGTCATTCGTTTCTCTGCCAAGCACCTGCTGTTGTCCTGGTGCCGGGCTCCCTCTGCAAGGGCCGGCAGGGGGAGGCCCGGCTCACGGCAGGGCCTCAGTCCGCGCACGTCCTCCGAGCCCCTGCGTGGGCGTCCCTCCCCCGTCAGTTCTGAGGATGTGCTGACTCTCTTCTGTCTATTGCCTTCCTCAGCTGGATAAAAAAGTCATCAACCAAATTGCAATGAACGACGAAACAGCTCAAAACAAGAGTCTGATCAAGATCTGGTGCAAAACTTTTACCAATGTGGTAAGTTTCTAAGCACACTGCTGGGTGGATGAACTCTTGCGTCTGCACTTTTAGCAAATTCTTTCATTCAAAGTGGGCAAATAAAAGGTAAGGGGAAAAGAAATTGGGCACTTCTGAAAAATCAAAACTGGCCAGTGAGAGCCCATAAAGAAGTAAGGCCTTGCACACTGGATGGAGAGACAGAATGCAGCAGAACAGAGGCTGCCTTACGCCCCATCCCACCACACACCCATTATTCCTGCTTGGCATTATTTTGGTGTCCCTTGGCTTATCTCTGGCTGCCTCGGCTCCCATTTGTGGAGGGACCTGTGGAGACAATGCATCATGCTTACAGGTGCACACGGTGTCCCCTTATTCCTCACCAAAAACGAGTGTTATGGATGATACATGCCGTTTCTCATGTTTGCCATCCAGACTCAGATGAATGTCACTGTCCCCGCCATCGAGAACTGCACCTCCCCCTCCCTCTGTTGGACAGATGGTTTCCACACCTGGACCATTGAGAACGTGACCCACCGGGAGAATATTGCCAAATGTGAGTAGAACTCACAGCATGAGTCACTGGGACATGCTGTCTGGGGTGCTGGCGGCAAACAACCAAGATTCTGTTACTGTGAGACAGAAGCAATAAACACCAACCAGGCCCTGGGGGGGCTCCGTGCCCTTCAAGTAAGGACTGCCCATGGTTCCCGCAGGCCACCACATCTTTGTGAACGCCAACCTCGCGGATGCTGTTGTTGGCATCATCCTGCTGGTAGTCTCCCTGCTGGTGCTCTGTGGCTGTCTGGTCGTGATCGTCAAGCTCCTGGGCTCCGTGCTCGAGGGGCAAGTGGCTGTTGTCATCAAGAAGACCATCAACACTGGTGGGTGCCCTGCCCCGCATCCGGGGCTTTCTCGGGGATGGCATCGCCGTGACCTCCTCAGGGGAGCCCCTTAGCTTCTTACCTAGCAGTGGCCTCCGCGTGGAGTTTATTTCTTGCATTTGAAAAGCTGCAGGAGATTTCACCCTTGAGATGTTCCTTGGTGTCGTGGGCGGGGCCTGGGGAGCAAGAAGAAGCTTCCATTGCTTGTTTGCAAGGTCCTGAGAAAGAGCCAGCTCAAATCCAGAGAGCTGTGAAAGAGGCCTTCCTTCCTGGCAGGATTCCACCCCAGTTTGCCCTCCACCCCCACCCCCAGGCCTCCAACCCATGCCATCTCAGAAGGATTGTGACAGATCTCTTTCCCTCTGTCTTCCAGATTTGCCTTTTCCCTTTGCCTGGCTGACTGGCTACCTGGCAATCCTCGTGGGGGCAGGCATGACCTTCCTTGTGCAGAGCAGCTCCGTGTTCACGTCCACCATGACCCCACTGATAGGTGAGCTTCTCCTTCCATTACCGCCCCTCCATCCCCTGGGGCTGATGTCATGGGCTTTGTATTTTCCTCCCAGGCGTCGGTGTGATCACCATTGAGAGGGCGTATCCACTCACGCTGGGCGCCAACATCGGCACCACCACCACCGCTATCATGGCTGCCTTAGCCAGTCCAGGCAGTAGTCTGAGGAGCTCGATCCAGGTCAGGACGCGTTGCATGGGGCGGGGGCTCCATGGGTGGGATGCAAGCCCATCGGTGGGCTTGCAAGCAGATGGTTTCTAACAGGAGCCCAGCTTTTCTCGGTTAGGTGTGACACTGATGTGGAGGAGAAGCAGCAGGGAGACAGAGAGATAGTGAGGCTCCCATCACGGGCAGTTGTTTAAACAAAGGTGGGGCGGCCACTTGATAGCAGTAGAAAGAGTCTTCGGGAAGCACAGATGCCACTTCTCTCTCCAGCGCCTCTTCGGGAACTCAGCCTGGGCCTGACATTAGGAAGGATCAGGGGGACCTTCCTTGCTGGCATCAACTAGATACCAGGGTGTATTTTACACTTAGCATGTCTCAAGGCGAAGGAGCCACATTTCAAGCGCTCAGCTGCCACACATGACGAGTGGCTCATGTATGAGGGCTGGTCCAAAGCCCCCAGCATGATGCCTGGCACCTTGTGGGAGGACATGGGACAGTGTGTGGCCTCTGGAGCCAGGCTACGGCTGCGTGGCTTTGAACTCTACCTCTGCCGTGTGCATCTGATTTTGAGAAAATAGCTTAACCTCACAGTGCCTATTGCCTCTCATATCAATCGGGGACAATATTGATAGCCCCCTCAGAGGATATTGTTTTAGGATTGAAGTAATTCACATAAAGTGCTTAGAACAGTTGTCTCGCTCACCGTAAACACCTAAATGTCAGCTGCTGAGGCTGCTGTCACCATCCTTCCTTCTCTGTCCCCTCCCTAGAATGGGGCATTGAGCCAAGGAAACCAGCTATCCTGCAAGCCTTTCCTCCTGCCCCTCCAGCTCTTAACTGCTCCACTGAAAACCACAGGGCCAAGACACAGGCTAGCAGTGGGCACATTCGTGACATTCATGGTTGGAGTTTGCCCAAAGGACTTCAGGCTCTGAAAACTGAGCTGTAACACAGCTGGTCACTTCCCCTCCCGACCTCCCCTCAACCCCAAACGCATCGTAGGCCCTCATGCAGTAGGGGTCCCGCCTATGCTGAGCTTCGGAGACGAGGAGGACCCGTGGCTGCTGCTGATGCCTGCTAGGTGACACCCTCCTTCTCCCCACCACACGACACTAACCTGTCTGACCTCTTGTGTTTCAGATTGCCCTGTGCCACTTTTTCTTCAACATCACTGGCATTTTGCTGTGGTACCCAATCCCGTTCACCCGCCTGCCCATCCGCTTGGCCAAGGGGCTGGGCAGCATCTCAGCTAAGTACCGCTGGTTCGCCATCTTCTACCTGGTTGTCGTCTTCTTCCTGGTCCCACTGACGGTGTTTGGCCTCTCGCTGGCTGGGTGGCCAGTGCTGGTGGGTGTGGGGGTGCCCATCATTCTTGTGATCCTTCTGGTGGTGGTGCTCAAGCTCGTGCAGTCCCGCTGCCCACACATGCTGCCCGCGGTGCTGCAGACCTGGAAGTTTCTGCCCTTGTGCATGCGCTCGCTGAAGCCCTGGGACCGCGTGGTCTCCATGGTCACCCCGTGCCTCACGAACCAGTGCTGCTGCTGCTGCCGCGTCTGCTGCCGCGCCTGCTGTCTCCTCTGCTGCCCCACATGCTGCCGCTGCAGCAAATGCTGCCAGGACCTGGAGGAGGAGCCAGACATCCACATCAAGGCCCCCGAGGCCTTCAGTAACGCCGCCATGGTCGGAGAGGCGCAGGATGGGGTCTCTAAGTCCCAAGGGAATGCCCTGGATGCAAACATCATCTCCAGCAGCACAGCCTTGTAGGGGCTTCCCCAAGGCAGGAGGAGGGACCCCAAGTCTCACGTGATCTCTCCTGGTTCTGCATGCTGTTCTCCATCTCACCGAGACATGGTAGCGACGTCAGCTCTGACTCATTCCCCTCTGTGCCGCTGTGGCTAGAAAGATGATCCCATCACCCATCCACCCCTGCACACAGATGAGTTGGCCAATAGAACTTATTTTCAGAGTTAAACCATCCTCTTCTGAAGTCCCAAGGGAGGGATTTGTGGGGGATTCTCCAAGATGCATCCATACACACATGCTTTTCTTGTGATAAAATTCTCCCGTTACCAAAGACTGGCTTCAACCGGGAGCAGCTGCCTCTCAGGTGTCCTCACCCCAGAGCAGCCCAGGTCAGGGGAGACAGACCTTGGAGAACACAGGTGTGGGCCTTTTTCTCTTCCCAATGCTCCCCAAGTTTCCTGACAAGGTTTTCTCACCTGGGCAGGTAGGGCTAGTCCAAGCATTTTACAAACTGGGCCCTCAAGTTTCCGGGACGGGAGCCGCATGGAAGCTGCAGAGATTCAGGCTGAGTTTTGGTTCACCTGTGGCTTCCGCCTCCTAAGAGGAGAGCGGTCCTGTTCCTGACGTGGGCAGGTGGAGGATGGGAGCTGGGCAGCTGGGCAGTTAGGCAGTCGGGGCCAGGAGAGATGGTTTATCTGCTTAAAAGGGCTGAGGGCTCTTTTTAATTTGGCTATTTTGGAAGGCAAATGGCCCATCGTAGCTAAAGCCTAGTGCCGCTCTTGGTTAGAATAAAATCATCCCCGTTGAGTTTTCTGGCTTCAGATTCTCTGTCCCCTCCACTGCCACCATCTTGAGTCCCAGGAAGCACCTGAGCATGGAACAGTTACAATTCCTTGCTCTGTGCAAGATGACTGTCTGGGTCAGCTTCCATCCGTCCATCCATCCATCCATCCATATATTCTTTCCAAATACTCTCATATTCCCATAGATAGATGGACTTGATTTCCTGCCCTCCCATCTGCAGAGCTCTCAACTTTTCCCTGAGGGTAGAAGTGAGGACCTGGCTGGACTCTCACAGAACCGTGATTGCCAAGTGACAGTGGGGTCCGTGTGTGTCTGTGGGTCCGGGGGGGGGGTGCTTCTTGCCCCAGATGCCTTCTGTGCCTTCTACATCCCCTGTTGTATTCACCCCTTCACTCCTCACGGCTCCTCACCTCCAGTTTTTCCTGGAGAGCGAGCTTTTAACCAGGTCTGGGGGAGGCAGAGGGCAGCGCCACCACGCTCCCATCGCAGCAGGTTGGGATACCAAACCGAGCCCTCCCTTGACCTTTTCCTGTGTAGATACAGATTCCCTAATGGCCACTCATGCTCTATATTTATAATCGTGCACCTGTACAGTGCTTTTTTTTAAGTTAAATAGTGAATGGTGTGATATGTTTTAGGTTCTTATTTGGAAATGTAAAGGAAAGAGAGACCATCTTTGTATTTTTTTTGTAATACCGGCTTTTCAACATGCCTTCTGTTAGCCATGCCCTGTGGCCTCACCCTGTAAATACATAAGCTAAACCTGGCCAGGGCTTTTTACACTCTAAAAATTCAATCCTTGCACCTGCATTGATTGTATTTTTTTTTTTTTTTTTTACTGGTCGTGGGAAGGGAGAAATAAAAAGATAATCAAACCCACATGGAGCATTTTGCTTTCAATTACAGGGAAATATGGGCCTCCTGGATCTATATCCTAAACATTTGAGGTCATTTTCCTCACCTAATGTCAATGCTCACCATCGGCCGGCTACATAATTTGTTGGACCCCTTCGTCAAGAAGCAGGAACGTGCAATTATAGGTGTTCAAGATAGAAAGCTTTCCTTTCTTCCACAGTCTCTCTTGAATTGTTTTTTTAAAAGTTTGCTATTTACAGATCCCCCTTGACTTGTGATGGGGTTATTATGTCTCATTGTAAGTTGGAAATACATTTAATACACCCAACCTACTGAACATCGTAGCTTAGCCTGGCCTACCTTAAATGTGCTCAACACAGGTTCCAAAAAATGCTGGCAACACCGTCCCCTGTAGAGTACTGGTTATTTACCCTCGCGGTCATGTGGCTGACGGACCTGTGGCTCGCTGCCCCTGCCCGAGAACCACATTGGGCTGGCCCTTAGAAAAAGATCAAAGCTCAGGCTCCCAAGTGAGATTTCTACGGAAGGTATATCACTTTTCCACGATCATGAAGTCAGAAAATCGTAAGTCAAACCATTTTAAGTCAGGGAACATCTGCCATAGTATTCTAAGTAAAATTTAAATACTAGCATAGCCCTGGCTGGTGTGGCTCAGTGGATTGAGTGCAGGCCCGCAAATCAAAGGGTTGCTGGTTTGATTCCCCATCAGGGCACATGCTTGGGTTGCAGGCCAGGCCTCCAGTAGGGGGCGTGTGAGAGGCAACCACAAATTGATGTTTCTGGCTCTCCCACCCTTCCTCTCTAAAAATAAATCTAAAAAAAATTCAAAAAATATTAGCATGAACATTCATGTTGTATGGTGCCAGTTTTAAATGCAGAATTGCTAAAATCACACCACTCATATTTTGTAGCTTATACATAGATTTCATTCCTCCCAGAACAGCAGGAATACTGCACACTAACTCAATTGTTTTGATTTGATTTCCCGGTGCCTGTACATTGCACTGACACTTCACCTAACTGATGAATAAGGAAGAGTGAAAGGAAAAGGGACTATGGCCGCCCTTTGCTTCCACACCATCACTTTCAGCCCAGATAGATGACTAACACAAGAAAGTAAGAGTGAGAGTGAGGAAGGACCCCATAGGGTTTCTTTTGTTTAAGGAACATTCTGGTGTGAATGGAGAGCATGGGCGGATTGTCAGCGCCCCAGCTCACTCCGATGCAGATGTAGCGCACTCACCTCGTGCTTGGCTTTGAGTCGGGCTGTTCTCCCATAGTGGGAGTCTATGGGAATTCTGTACTCAGGCCCTGCAAATGTGTGGCTTTCTCCTTGGCTCACCTCTCTGGTGCTCAGCCAGCTCCCCCCTCTCAGATCTCAGCCTCCTTTCCATCCTCCCTCCCTCCAGGCTCAGGGATCACCAAACACTTGGTATCTGGGGTGTTCTTGGAGGAAGCCCCAGGTCAGTAAACATCCTGGCAGGCTGAGGTGGCACACCTACCCTTTCCTGTGCAAAATAATGGAACCCCTTCTTCAAAACTGCAGATACCCAGGCCAGGCCTGGGGGTAAGCATTGGAGAGCTTTTTCCACCACAGAAAGCAGATTCCTCCATCCTTCTATCCCAGGATGACTTCTATGAGCCATTTGTTCAGGAATGTTCTCAACTTTGTGGGACCAGCTAAGATGCCAAACCCCAGGCCTCATCTCAGAGGCTGCGTTTTAAATAGGCTAAGAGCCAAGGAATCTGTATTTTTAGAAAAATGCATGGAAAATGTGATTGTGATGCAGGTGATCATCAAACTATGAGATCTATGCCCCAGAAAAGAGCAAAAATTAAGGCCAGTGTAAACACAGCTTATCAGACCTCTCTCTTCCTTCTTCACTGTGACTCTCCTCCTCCCCCCACCCCCACTTATCCTCCATTTTCCTACACGTAAAAATTAACAGTCATTTCTGGGTAATAAGAAATATTTAAAAAAATTTTTTAAAGATTTTATTTATTTTTAGACAGAAGAGAAGGGAGGGAGAAAGGGGGAGAGAAGGATCAATGTGTGGTTGCCTCTCATACGCCTCCTACTGGGGACCTGGCCCGCAACCCAGGCATGGGCCCTGACTGGGAATCGAACCGACGACCCTTTGGTTTGCAGGCCGGCACTCAATCCACAGAGCTACACCAGCCAGGGCAAACATTTTCTATGTATGTATTGTACGTCTTTGTATATTATGTATTTGTTTATGCTATATTTTTAATAATTATATATATTTATATGTATGATAACCTAAAAAGAAGCCAAAATGAGGGGCAGCAGGCGTTTATGCGAGAGGAGCAATAGCTGTTTGGAGAGCTGTGATTCAGGCAGAAACCCAAACCGTGCTCTGATCAGGAGGTGAAGGCAAGAGGTGTCTATGAGAAATGGAACATGAGGAAGGAATTTCCATGCATGTGAAGAGGCTAAGGAAGGACTTCCTCTAGGTACAGACAAGCTAACACAGTGCTCCGAGTTCTGAAGGCTGCCTGTAACTGTCAGCCTGGTATTTGTAACAGTGGTCTGGAGTACAAAGCTGCTCAGACCCCATCCAAAGGTCCCTTTGCCCGGTTCTTATTAACATTCCAGGGCTTTGAGGAGTTGGATGTACACCGCGGTTCCTCTGGGAGGGCAGCTCCGACTCTGTGTTTTTTTTTTTTTAAATAAATTTTGCAGCCCACCCAACTTTTAAGAAAGATTTTATTAATTTATTTTTAGAGAGAGGGGAAGGGAGGGAGAAAGAGAAGGAGAGAAACACATCAATCAGTTGGCCTCTCTCACGTCCCAACTGGGGACCTGGCCGTAAACCCAGGCGTGTGCCCTGACCAGGAATTGAACCAGTGGCTTTGTGGTCCACAGAGTGACACCCAGCCCATTAAGCCACACCAGCCAGGACTCTGATGTTGTTTTGTTTATATTATGTTTTTACATGTATGTGCATATACAGTATAAGAAAATACAAATACTTATATTTTTCTGCTCTCCTCCCAGTAATTTGTCCATGAACTTGCATTATTTTGTCACTAGTAAGAAAAAATCTAATGAAGAAAAGAAAAAAAAACAAACTCAAATGACCCCACCAGGAAGTGTATCAATTGGGAGACTAGATTTGACCTGGGAGGCTTCCCTTGCTCCAGGACAAGGCTTCCTCACCAATGTCTAAACTAAGTAACCAAGAGGTTGTTCCTCTGACTTCAAAGAAACCTCCTGAGTGACTGTCAGTGCTCACCAAGGACAGGAAGTTCCTTTGGCTTTGGCCATGTGCTCTGAGCTTGGAAGGGGAAAGGTGCTAAAGGGTTAAAACGTCAAGGTCATCTGCCTCAGGTCTGCTAGGTCCCACGGTCCCTTTCCTTCTCCACCTCCCAGCCTCCTGCCCCACCCCAAGGTCCTGAGGCCTCTCTGGCAGTCTGGTGAGCCTGACCCCGCTCTAAGCATGAAGGCAAGACTCAGCTCATCAGTGCCCGCAGCTGGGCAGCAGGGATGGGGAGTAACAATCTTGCTTGCGAAGAGCGTTGGGAGAATGAATGGCAATGCTTGTGGAAGTGCTTTTGCAAACCTTGCCCTGGAAATCACTCCTGCAGGCATTCGTTGTTTCTGCCGAACTTTAGCAAATTCTGCTGAGGGCTGGCAAGACCCCTGGGCCTGGGGTGTTGGTGGGGGGTGGGGGGGGGGAGAGAGAGAGAGAGAGAGAGAGAGAAAGCCAGTGTGTGTGCAGGTGGAGTCAACCCAACCTGAGAGCAAACCCTGTCCCCACCAGAGGAGTCCTGTGACCTGAGGCAAATGCTTGAACCTCTGGGACCTGCAGGCTTGAATCTCAGAAATGTAAAGATCTCTGTGTCACAGCGTCTTTGTGCAGATTAAATGAGATTTCCCCGAAACCACTGGCTGTTAGCATCTTTCTTTTATTTATTTTTTTGTTTTTATTTTGACAGTACATTTATTAAAGGTGAGGACAGTAAAACAAGGAAGGGCTTAGCATAGAAGAAACGGGGACGGGGCGGCGTGGCTGCTCTGGCTCACTGGGAAGTCAGAGAAAAGGGGTCTTGGAGACAGGTTCAGGGAGGGGGTTAGCCCAGGACAAGCTGCTGCTACTCATTGCTCCCTGGTTGCAAGTCTTTTGGGGACCCTTAGAGTTTAAGAAGTGCGTGTCTGAGAGGGAAGAAAGGCGTGGGCATGCTCCCGGGAGGAGCATGGCATTCTCTCACTCCCGGGAGCATGCCAGCTGCTTCCTTTTAAATGTTTGTGGCATGCCCAGGCTGGTGTGGCTCCATGGATTAAGCGCCGGCCTGTGAACAAAAGAGTCACCGGTTCAATTCCCAGTGTAGGGCACATGCCTGGGTTGCAGGCCAGGTCCCCAGCAGGGGGCACGCAAAATGCAACCACACATTGATGTTTCTCTCCCTCTCTCTCTCTCTCGCTTCCCCTCTCTAAAAATAAATAAAATCTAAAATGTTTGCTACATCTCCCTGCAACCTCTACAATTACAGCTGGCCCTCGAACGAGGCAAACGAGGCGGGGTTTAGGGGCACTTACCTCCAGGCAGTGGAAAATGTGTGTATAACGTAAGCGGGGCCTCAGCATACGGTCCCCAACACACACCCAAACACAGTTGACCCTTGAACAGCATGGGTTTGAACTGCCCCGGTCCACTTGTGCGGGGATGTCAGTGCCCCAACCCCCACGATGTTCACGATCCACTGTAGTTCATTAACATTGCCACCCACTTTCCCTTTATCTTAAACTGCAATATTTGTGAAATCACGGGCTTGATGTATGAGTCCTGCTGGAGTTTTTTTTTCCCCCTAATGAATATTGAAACAAAGGCATAGCTATTAGAATTTTAAAAGTTCATTCAGATCTACTTAGAAACATTGCATGTGCCCTCAGGGGTATAAACACTGCACTTAGGGAGATGCCGAGATTCATCAGGAAAGCACCCAGCACATTGCTTGGTGGTGGTAAGACATACAT